TTACTTATGAAATCATACCTGGGTTGGTATGCCACGACGGAAGCGAGTGGTCGTAACTACATCATATAATTCACATATTTCACAGAGTTCACATACTCCATATATATAGCAGTCTACAGAAGCGTAGATCTGCTCTGATACCACAATACAACGCCCACTTTGATTTAACGAAAATTCATGGCTTTTCAGAAAAATCAATTTGAATTTTTGAAACTCATTTAAAATAATTGGGTCATTACTCATCAACATCAACAATTATTTCAATACTATCAATCATAAAATCAACTCCCAAATCGGGTTTCATCCCAAGTCATCATTTATCCAAACCCGGATTTCCAAAAATCATCACAGTATCAAGGGGGCATCTCCCCAACATTATTTCAATCGCCATAAGGTCTCAAGTTCACAAAATCATAAGATCCCAAGTTCATAATATCCAAAGTCATGAAATCATAAATCATAAATCATAAAATAGTTCATGTAGCGGAAGCATAATAATCAATAATCTGGTCATATAGATCGACCACCACTCGCTCTACTCCGTCGTGCCCGCACCTGCATAACCTGCATCTGTGAAGAAATAGTGGGGGTGAGAACAGATGGAATCCGTGGCGCTCTTCACTATGCAATAAACAACATTAACCAAGACATGTATGGTTGCAGCATGTATATGAATCAATTATCTATCCCATCTCCCATATCAAAAAATTATAAAATCAAGTCTCAAGTGCATACCTGCGCATAGACAACTGCTGATACACGTATCCAATGCCTCTCCGGCCTTACAACGATGCCGAAACAGTAGGATTTTCCTCCGTCAGCCGAGCACTGTCCTGGTCTCACAACGGGGTACATATCGTCGACCGAGCACAACCCTGGTCTCATACCTCCGACCGAGCACATCCCTGGTCTTACAGGCGTAAGGAGGAGATTACCCCAACGGGGTCCATTCCATAACTACGGGATAACCGTTCGACGGCCAGTACAACTCACATCGAAGGCCACATGGTTCACATGCATACATTGATCATACCACACGTAAAGCAACAATTTACTGCATAGAAATTTCAAATAAAACTCACCTGGTTACCGAAGTGGTAGATTCACACAAGGCAAGGACTTAGGTCGAGGATTCAGCTCGTCGAACCTACATTTATCAAGATATCCCTATAAATAACTATCCGACACATGGATTTACATTCTACAACATTCCCTTAGTCGAAACATTATCGACTAAGTGATTCATGGAATTCCTAATGGAGTCTGGAACCTTTGGTTGAACCGTCTAGGCTCGAAAAACCAATTATACGTCATATAGAACACATATAGCATGATGAATAATGCGTTGGGTCACTAATAAGTCAATCAAGTCGGGAAATAGTCAAATCGCGGTGCTGCCGGGCTGCCGGGGTGCTGGCACGGGCCTGGCGCGGACTGGCACGGGCAGGTGTCCCTGGCCAGCCTTGGACAGTAGGCTAGTTTGATATAACATCCGAACCTTTTGAAAATCTACTCGACCAAATTCAATGAAACTTTACCACATAATAATAAACCCAGGAGTACACATATACACCAAAAATAAACCCTTAGAAATCATTTTAACCTTGGAAAATAATTTTTGCAACAATACAACCGTGAAGTGAAATTCCATGTTCTCCAGGTAAACCTTCGAGAACAACAACATATCTAAAATTCAACCCATTTGGAGCAGTATTCAAATTTATATGAATTTATCAAGATTCTGACCAGAACTTCAATTCAGCAAAACACATAGCTACAAGTCGAACTTAGACTTGAAATTTTTACACCATAAACTTCATCATCAGAGGTTCAACATATAAAAAATGCACAACCAAATGACTTGAACTCGATTTATCATGAGTTTTCAAAAGTTCAGCAGCAGGATGAACTTCAAAAATCCATAACTCATAAAATACTCAACAAAACGACCAAAGGTCTTCACCATCAGACCAAGGACTCTCTAAAGGACCGTTTACTCCAGGGTTTCCATGAATTTCATTAGGGTTCTTCAGTTTTAACAATAAACCGAGAGAACAACCACAAATCAACATAATTATAATATCATATAATTACCAAAACAAAATAACTCACTACCATAGCATATGAACACATATATACATCAAAATATAAGGGGGTTCCAGCCATACATTACTGTTCACCGAAAGGTTACTCGAAATTAAACGGAAGAGGGCCGAAACAGGATCAAGGGTGCGCGTGGGTGGGCTCAGCGGCGATGCGCGTCTCGCGGCTTGCATCTGGCACTCCCAGTGGGCTGCGATCGAGTGATGGTGGGTCCTCGTTGGCCGTATCACACACGAACAGAGGCCTTGCTAGATGGAGGGATCGCTCGCGGGAGAGGAATCCGTGTCAGCGTTGCACGCGGGGCTCGACGGGGCGTGCGCGCGAGTAACCAGGGGATGCCGGCGTTGCTCGATGGCTGAGGGGAAGATGGGAAGCGATGGCGATCAGTTGAAAGGAGGAAGGGAGAAGAGTGGCGGCTGAGGGTTTACGTGAAGAAGAAGTGAGGGAGAGTGAGAGAACTTATATATATATATATATATATA